GTTATCAAATAACACCAAATCTATCCGAGTTTCACCTCAAAATATCGCAGCCCACACATCTAACAATGTACGGAGTACATCACCCGTTAAAGCTATATGCCCATTGCTATGCTAATCCTAAAAGCGCAGATGTTGTACATACATAATAGACTAACCAGAAACTAGAGGACGGACAGCTGTCCAATTCAATCAGGTTGATACCTATCCCGCGCACGCTGTATCCTCCTCGCCCGCGAAACGGAGCTATATCCATCGTGAGTATCCCTGGCATAAACCCTATTACCAGTTAAGCCAGTTCTCTTTGAAATCCTTCCAGGACACGACCGTCTACGGTCACGGTTCCGGGAAGTAAAAGACGGCGCCAACGAGGACGAAGAACGGGAGGTTGAATGTATATATCTCCCTGCGTCGCCAGCCGTTTCCACCTCTGCACGTGGCAACGAGAATCGCTCGTCCCCCACCGCAGGCTCCTCATCATACTGCACCACCCGATCCCAATCCGTCAACGAATTATACGGACTCCGCAACCACGCCTGCAACTCATGCAGGAACAAACGCGCGTGATCGCGTCCGATAAATTCCTGCAACAACTCCTCCGCCTGTCCACCACTGCCCTTAATGTCTACCGTGCGCAATATTGCAATTATGTATTCAAGCAGGAATTCAGCGTTGTTGATGGTGCGTTCACCGCTATTATCTGCGGTTGTTGAGCTACCATCTCCCTCGGTACTGTGCGGGTTCAAGAAGGCGAAAACCCGCAGTTCGCGGCGGATCCACGTGCGCGCCCGTGAGACGAGGTCTGTGTCCTCATTGAAATGCTGGGGTGTGAGCTCGCGGTATTGCGAGAGGCGGTTAGAGCCTACTCGTCGTGAGTAGAGTTGATGGCGGTATATGTGCCGTCGTCGGATGATTGGGTCATCTGGGGCTGGAGGCTCAGGTTGCGGTTGGTCTCGGCGTGGGCGGCGGCGAAATCTTCTTGGATGGAAACGTGCTGCAGTTCCGGCGGCTGACTCTGGATGTCTGGCTGTGGGTGGTGATTGCGGAGCAGGAACGTAATAGATTTTTGGGCCTGAGGGGAGATCAGATTCTAGTTCATATTTGACCCTCGAGACGACCGCTTGGCCTATGTATCAAAGTTAGTTATCAGTACCAGGGGAGGAAAATAAATCTTCACATACACAATGGGCAAGATGGGCGTTGTTGCAGCCAGCTCAGAAGGCATAGAAAGTCGAAACTGCCATGTTCACAGGGGAGCGCGATGGCACCCTCGGTAACCTGGTCGAGGCAGATCACGCAGGGGTTAAGATTGACATCATTGCAGCCGGATTGACTTTCAGCCACCTCGTCTAGTGTTTTGCGGAGGATTGTCTGCTGCAAATCGACATCGTGTGCCATGGGAGGGAATTACTTCTGCTGTTTGATGTTGATATCCTGATGGATGTCTCTTAGATCGGAGATGCGACGGAAGAATAGATAGTCCGTGATCGGCATAACTTTCTATTTCAAGACCAGTGCTGACAGTCACGGGGAACTAGTCCCAGATAGGAAGGTATGCCGAGGCACATCTTGACGTTCAACAAATCACCCAATGAGGAAATAATCTTTGTCAGTTCATCAATTGAAACCATCGCAACTTCAACCATCTCAAAGTCATAAGCGCACACCCGCTATAGCACGGCTGAGGGGCCTCATCTCTGGTGGTACACCTTCGCTTCCTGACCCTTTTCTGCACTATGCCGTGTGATGCTTAAGTCTGCGAGAGCTGTTGTTTCATCACGGATCGCAAAGCACTCGACTATGGCTGTTCCATTGGTGAATGGGCCCTTGCACAGCGAGGGCCGAAAATCTACATATACCACCACTGCGCTCAAACGGTGGTCATGTCACAATGGTGGAGAGCTACCCGGTGAGCTTGACCTGCTGATCCTACCCTGGTTTCGTTTTCTAATGGATCATAAAGCTAATAGCCACTTCCACAGCTGTCCCGCAGATTAAAACTATCCATGTCTACGATTTTGATAATACCTGTATGAGCTCCGCCTCCCTACCAATGATTGCGAATCCAGAAGCTAAAGTCGTCTCAGTGTTTTCGAGCCCTCTCCCCAACCCGCAATTATGGAATGGGCCGACGATTGGCTTCCTTTCTACCTACGAGTGCTTTGCAAATGGAGGATGGTGGCATGATCCCAACATTCTTGCTGCAACGGGACAGGGAATTGAGGCGGAAGAGCCCGGGGGTTGGAAAGGGTGGTGGAATGAGCAGATAGTATAGCACCACGGCAACTCATCTATAAGGCTGAACGAACCTGCTGACACTCTTCAAAGGTACAATTGGTGGAACTCAGCATGAAACAGAAAGATGCGTTGACGGTTCTGCTCACTGGTCGGGCAGAGAGCCCGTTCGAAAGCATCATCAAACGGATGGTGAAGAGCAGAAACCTGGTCTTTGATCTGGTTTGCCTGAAACCAGAAGTCGGCCCGAATAGCCAGCGATTTTCAACCACAATGAACTTTAAGCAGACTTTTCTCGAAGATCTGGTGCTTACCTACAAAAACGCCGAAGAAATCCGCGTGTATGAAGATCGGATTAAACAGTAAGGCGGGCCCTTGTGTATCTCATGAGCCAATTCTCACATCCTTATTTTTAATAGCGTAAAAGGATTCCGCGAGTATTTTGAAAAGTTGAACCGGTTTTTACAATCTAACCCGCATCCTCAGCCACGGAAACCCATACACGCTGAGGTTATCCAAGTTGCGGAGGGCGCCACTTTCCTTTCCCCTGTCACTGAAGCTGCTGAGATTCAGCGGATGATCAACTCGCACAATCAGGCTCTTGCATCGACTTCGGGCAATATCACCAAATCGCCATACGGGAGACTGAGAATAAAACGCACAGTTTTCTTCACGGGATACCTCCTATCCAATACAGACTCATCCCGCATCATCAATTACATCCTAAACCCCTTGATACCACCCAGTCTTTCCGATTCAAACGACATCAAGTTTATGGCCAACTCCATTCTCATTTCCTCGCGTCCGGTGTCCAAGTCCATACTCGGCAGGGTAGGTGGTATCGGGAAGACACTCAGATGGCGAATCACCGACACAGGAGTGTACGAGAATAAACTCTGGGCCGCCAGAGTAACGCCCGTCGTGGAATCGGAAGTCATATATACCGAAAGCCCAGAGCCGATCATGGTCCTCGCGATGCGCAAGGGCGTACGACCCGCCGACGCCAGCCGAATTCGCAACTGGCAGCCAGTCATAGGTGATAATGCGCTTGTCTTCGACACAACCGTCGGACAAAAGATGGCGCTGAAAATCGAAGAGGAGATCTCTGAGGACGGCGAATGGGATACTATACCGCCCTACAAGAACAACAAGCGTAAAATTGCCCAACAGATCGCTATGCGTGAGGATGAAGATGTGCCTCTTCCCCGGTACATGCGGGAAAATAACAACAACAATAACACTAGTAATAATCGGGAACGCGACCCTCCTCGCAATTACGGAACAAATACCCATGCAACCACGAATCAGGAATACCCCTCCTATCACAACCGGAACAATAACCCCGTCTACCCACGCTACCATGGCGACAGCGGAGGCGGAGGCCCAGGCGGAGGTGGTGGCGGAGGGGTTGGCGGAGGTGGAAGTAGATACTTTGACAATGAGGGGCCCCCCCGACGTGGTGGTGGGGCTGGCGGAGGCAGCGGCGGTGGTGGCCCCGGTGCCAACTATCGAGGAAGTCGTGGACGTGGGCGTGGAGGACGGGGGCGAGGGCGTGGCCGTGGTGGTGGTGGTGGTGGTGGTGGTGCTGGCACGGGAGGTGGTGGGCCCCCGGGGTCTCATCAATATCGGTCGTTGGATGATCATGTAGGTGGTGGTGGAGGCTATGACGGGACGGGGGCGGGGACGGGGGATGAGAGGAGGTTTGGAGGAGGTGGGGGGCCTGTTATGAATTATTGATCACTTTTCTTTTTTTCAAGTTCATTGATGTATATAATTTTCCTTTAAGATTTTTGTCTGTTTTGTTTTGAACTTTTAATGGATATATGCCTCATCCATTTTGCTTTATTCGCTGTAATTCCCTTCTACTTCATTTCCTAAACTCTGGTGTTCTATGTTTCTTCTCCTTCTTCAACTTCTTTTCTTGCGTTGTTCTCCTACCTCCATTTTAATACATTAGTGTGGCCTCTACAGAGTTTATAATCAACCTTATATTTTCATTAAGAGAGCAGTACTTCTCCACAAACACGGTACAAATCTGCAATACACTTCCCCGGGCTTTTTGTTATAATTTCACCTGCGATTGAACGGATGGTATCAATGTTGAGTAAGAAAAATCGACAACATCCAGCGAAAAAGAATAAAAAGGGGGGTGTTGGGGTTGAGAAAATCTCACACCCTTCTCAACAAAGCTGGATATTTGTTCCAATCCTTCATGAGCTGAAAGGAGTGCCGGGGGGGGGGAAATAAATTAAAGGAACAACCAGCTCAACACTTCCTGCATTCACTGCGAAAATCTTAGTATATACAGGATAAAAGATCCCAATCTATCAGTACCAGAACATGCAAAGCCGATAAATTGAAAAACCCCAATAAAATGCTCGTGAGAAGGGCGAATGGGGAGAGGAGAAATGGGGGATATCAAGCAGAAAGAGAAGTAAATCAATAAAACATTATACAGTACATGCATGTATTATATGGATATCCCATGGCTTCCAAGCTCTTTCCATTCAGAACCTAATATATCAATTCAATTGATTGTTCGTCCGATGCGTTCAGCTCCATATCCATATCCATATCCCATTTCGTGATCGTATTTCCATGCTTCGTTGTTGTTGTGAGAATCATTGTCGTGTATTGGTTCCCACTATTAATATCCATATCAACCTTACCTTTTAAGATAGAAACAAGAACAAGAAAAAAACCCAATCCCCAACAGAAGGAATGAATAAAACCCAATAGAGTCACAAAATTAACCCAGAAGAAAACCCTCAACCATCCGTCAACTTCTCCAAAAGACTCATACTCAAAATCATCACTAACAACCCAACCGTCACAATAATAAGCAATGCAAACCCAAACCACCCCAATATCATCGCCGATGTCCCCACCCCACTCCTCACCACCCCATTGCCTAGATCCTGCGCTATCGTGCTCGCCGCCACAGACGCCGTATGCTGCCATAGCACTGACACCAGGACGAACACGGACGAGATGAAGATCAACGCTAACGCTATTTGCGACACGAACCGGGAGGGAAAGGGCTTGACTTCGCGATCCGAGCCGTCTTCGGTGATCTCTTCGTGCCAGCCGGGGAAGGTGGCGAGGAGAATGAAGCAGATAAAGGCGAGGATTATGGCGACGATTCTGATTGGTCATATATGATGACAGCATGTGAATAAAATGTTTGAGAGGAAGGGGAAGGAGGATGGGTTTGGGAGCTCGAACATTAAATATGGAAAAACAACTGCATCCTTAAACGTCGCAGCAACCCATACGAGATTCAGCGGATCGTCCTCGGACTGCAACATGTCCGCCAGCGCCGTGGCATTTTGATTACACATGAATGCACCGCCGGTGGGCTGGATACATATTCCGAAGTATCCCACGCGGACTTCCAGCTGTGCGCCGCCGACGATGTTCGTCATGGCTGTGTTGATGCCTGGGGAGACGATAGCGGGGTCAAAGACCGGTGTATATTTTTCGTAGAAGAGGGATATTAGGAAGATTGTTGGGATTTGCGGGGAAGAAGATGAGCAGCCTGCTAGTAGGAGGGCTGTCGGGGAAGGGGAGTTGTTAGCAGTTTTCTGCGCATAGGTATGGGCCGAGGGGGACTGACTTACATAGTAATATTATAGCCAGGGCAATGAATATCATGAGGAGATGGTGGTAGCCGATTAGAGGAATAAACCCTATGGATTGGTAGAGGCAGTCAGCATGTCATTGTTCATCCGTATGGACTTTCGAAAGGACTCAATGGAGCACATTCCTCTTCCTCCCTCCTCCCCCTCCCGGGTCCACATGGATCCCAATATCATATGTCATCAATAGAAAGGGGGATTATCACTCACTCATAAACCCCGACTCAAAATTCATCTGAGGCATCCTGACAGAGCTTTCTTTCTAGTCCAAGGGACCGGATAAACACGCAACTTCAAAAGAAAAAAGTCAAAAGGAAAAGAAAAAGAAGAAGAAAAAGAAACCCGAAACCAACCAAACCCAAACAACCCCTTTCCTTTGACCCAGCTCCAAGCGGAGCGCAGTCTCCCCCCGCGTGTGTGTCTTTTTCTCTTTAGCGGGGAACTCCTATGCCTTCTGTTCCAGCTTCCTTAACAGCAACAGCACTTGAGCAGCAGAGCCAAGGGGTAGGTTAACAGCTAGTCGTCGCAGCGCCCTCTTCTGTATATATATATATATATATATACAACAGCAGTCCAGGCCAAGATTCGATGTCGCCTTCACTTCTCGAGACCTCAATCCGTCTTCCGTAATGTATCGACAAGTAGGGTCGTGGGGCGCCTGCTGTTCGTGAAAGGCACCGTTTTCCTTCTTTCTGTAACCTTTCAGATATCTTGTCAGAGGAAGTGGACGATGAGATGGCTGCAGCGGCAGTTCTTGGGTCAGGGCAAGAGGGCAGATGGGATGTATGAATGTAGGTGGAGGTGTAGGGATAAGGAGGTATGAGGGAGGAAGAGAGGGAGGATGGGTGGTCAGGTAATGTGAATGGATGTAGATATATATATATGTATGGTATTGTAGTGCAGTGTAGTGTAGCTCAACGATATGACTCTGCACTCAATCTGAATGTATGCATGTATAGCATGAGTATTGAGTAAACGAGCGAGATGAGATAGTATCTTCAGCCAGGTGAATGCCGTGTGTCCCCCGTTGTCAAGAAGCGCTATGGAGGACAGAGAGTGTAGGAGGAACGGAGCGGAGGGGAGAAGGGAAGAGAGGCAGTATCTCGGGTAAGGTTAGGAATAGATTGGTATCACGACGACGCAATATTCATGGTGGCTGGAACAATCACACGGGTCGACGGGCAAGTAGTGCAAGTATGTGTGCGAAAAAGAAAACAAAAGAGAAGACTGAAAGAGGTTGGGAGAGTAATAACTTATCCAAGAACATCACCAGAATATCCCCGGACTCCGCTGGCTGTCAAATTGTGGCTGGGCCAACCAGCTCCACCGAACCCGCCCGCTTTTTTTTTGTTTACTCCTGCGTGTTGTCGAGGCAACAAGGGGCTGAACCCTAAAACGTGGGGCTGGGCGGGAACTAGGCCCGATGCGGAAAGATGTTTACCCTAGACGTCATCGTCGTCGTTTGGTGCAACGGGCATCACTCCCAGAGTGCACTTGGCGTAAGAACATTTCGACAGATAGATCGCAGTTAAAAAACATGTTATCTATCGATGATCGCCCAAATCAACCCTCTATACCTTATCTCACGAAAATAAGGGAGAAGGGGAACAGCGCAGTGTATAAATATATATATATATATATATATTTAACGCTGACTCGGTAAACCCTAACCCGAACTAACCATTAATAAACTAAAAGCTACTGTGTATACCATCAATTCCACATCTCACCACCCCGTTTCCTCCCCACTTGTACATGTACCTAACCCAATCATACCTCCCAAAAAGCGAGTGAGAAAATGTAAAAACTACCAACGCCACACCACATGATGAATCACTTTTGAAACTTTCGCAGACAAACCCATTCACCACTCACGACTAACCACTCACCTACCAGCCGTGAACAGGAAGCGCTTAAAGTCCGCATCAACAGCGACAGCAGCTGGAGCAGCAGCGTCCCCCTTCCCCTTTTCTTCCTCTTCCCCTACCTTTCCCACATCATTCCGCAACAAATCCAAATCCACCACCTCCTCCCCCTCCTCCTCCTCTTCACTGTCCGGCACAATAAAATCCTCACTCCCCCTCCCTCCCTCTTTCAAATTCAACACAGGCAAACATGGTCCCTCAGTTTGTGCCATAAACTTCTTCATGGGCAATGACACAGGCCGAAGTCGCAACGGCGTATCATCACTGACAAAACCAACCTCCTCCTCCTCCTCCTTCTCCTCCTCCTCTTCTCTCCTCGTCTTCTCCTCCCCATCATCCCTGCCATCATCCCCGCAATCATCAAACCTATCTGCATCACGCACCAACTGCGTCGACCTCAAACACTCCATAGACTTAGACCGATGCAACGCAGCCTGTCTCAGGCGCTGCAAGGGCGTCATCCGCGCCAGATCCCGCGCACGGACCCGCTGCTGCTGCTGGAGTATCGCACTGGAGCTCTCCCAGATAGGCGCCTTTTTTCTTGCAATATCATGCACCAGTTTGCTTTCAGCAGCCTGTTTCACGGCTTGCGCCTTCGATTCGACGAACGCAAATCTATCAAGTAACTTCGAGGTCCTCGTCGTCTTTGCCTTGCTTGCGTCGTTGTCATCGCAGTCGTATTCAAACGGCTCGATGAGCAACTTGGGATCACCTTCACCCTCAATACCAGATGAAACCCCCATCATCGCCTGTGTCAACCCAGTCGTGCATGCTGCAGTACTATTATCTTCTTCTTCTTCTTCTTCTTCTTCTTCTTCTTCCACAGCCACACTCTCCTGGGTATCCCCAGTATCCCGCTTCACATCCACATCGCTTCTCGCTACCGTACTCGGAGACAAACCCATTTCACAACCCGGAGTCCCACCATCCAACCCCGCCCCACCCGGAAGCTGCACCATGATACCTTCCACAATCTCGTCCGAAAACACACCAAAATCCGACATCCTAGCCTTCTTAACCCTTCCATTCTCCCGACCACTAATACCAATGCTAGCCGTCGGACTGCTTTTGGCCCCCACAGCACTCGCAGTAAAGAACCGACTTCGTTCCCCATCAGGAGCCCCTAGCACAGAAGCAGCAGCCACCTCCTCGTCGGCATCCGAACACAGGCGCTGCCGCTTAACAGGCTGGAACTTCGACACGGTTGAAGCGCTGGCGAGGAACCTTTCCCTCTCGCTGCTCTGTGGCGTTTCGTATGCCAGCCTGGAAAGCGCAGGAGCAGGGCCAGGAGCTGAAGTTGCAGTAGAAGTGGAAATGGAAGTGGAAATCGAGAAAGGAGAAGAAGATGATGAAGCGGAAGAATCCATTCTGCGACCACTGACCCTCGCCGGTGCCGAGCTAGCCACCCACGACCGCTGTGTATTCGCATCTAAAAGCCGTTGTTGACTAGGTGAGGGCGTGAGGCTGTTCGGGTCCAATTCACCCAGCGGAACGCGTTTTGGCGTGAAGTATGCATTTATAGGTGTTCCGGGTTTCTTAAACCCCACCGACGCCGGCATGGTCTGGCGTCGAACCAACCTCGATCGCTCCGGGTACGACGGTCGTAGAACTATAGCTTCCTTCGTCCTGGGGTCCAGGTCCCCGCAGGCGATCCCGATAGCCGTATCTGGATCTATATCCGCACCGACAAATGGCATACTTTCCAGCGTCATGTCACCTGAGAGCGGGGACAATGTAACCAGCTTCCTAGCGACGGGGCAGAACACCAACTGATGCAAGAAGGTAAATTCAGCCCGTTTAAAATCCTCCAGGTACTGCGGGGGGACCCGACTACCCCCTTCAAACTGAATCATTTTCATAGTCTTTTCGACAGTTTTATACTTCCTTATATTTCGATACGCCGTCTTCAGCCCCATCCTCGGCAGGTTATCCAGATAGTCACAACCGGAAAGAATGCACATAGCCCTAAACTCTGCATCCGTCCACCCAATCAAACTAATATCCTGACAAGCCGTAAAATCACTTCGATTAATCTCCACACAATCGCCATGCTTATCAAGCTTAGACAACAACCTCTTCGCTCCAAAGACAAGCATATCCGAATCCTCCGATATGATCCCGTCAATAATCCCCTGGCGCTCGAGGTAGACGAGCTGCGCATCCGCCTCGTAAGGTGCAACGATATACTGCACCTTCACCCGTTTCAGCTCCTCGATCATCAGCCGGGCCATGTAAGGTGTGACGTCGATGGCCTTCTGCAGCTCCTGCTGGGCCTCGAATAAGCGGCCTGCATGGAATAGTTCTAGGCCGAGCCTTTTACTCTCTTCGCGCCGTTTGGCTCTGGAGGATTCGGTGCCTGCTTTGCTGGGGAGGTTGTCACCGTCGAAGACTAGGTAGGGGTTTATGCCGAAGTGGAGGAGCATGCGGACGCGGTTCATGGCGAAGTCGACGTATCTGTACTTGGGTTTTAAGGAAATGTTAGATACGTGACGAATTGGCCATTCATGTTGACCAGTGGTCTGTCAAATAACTGTAGGGGGGCAGGTAGTTTATTTGTGTATAAGGGGGTAGGGCTGACCTGGTATTATGCTTGTCGAGAGCGAGGTCGATGGCGCACGCGACTGTTCCTCGATGGAGCCAGCCATAAGCGTCGACGCCTAGGGTCTGGCCTTTAAATTTGCGCAGGCTACATGGTTTCTGGATGGATTTGAGGAGGCCGTGGAGTCCTATATAGAAAATCAAAAGTAAGTAACGTGACAGGTGAGTAATAATTGAGATATACACATATATAATAAGGGAACAACATACCTGCAATCCCCATTCTGTAACCCTCGCTCTATGTACTTCCCGGGCAGATCTCGATATCAGATAGAGCAGATACAAATCCGCAATCCGCAATCCGTGCTCCGTTTTCGTTTTCTCGCAAGGAAACTCTCTAACCAAGTATGGCTTCTTTCTGCCTGTCTAGGTCTCTAATCCAACAAGGGCCGAGTGGTACAGTCCAAGAAGAGCAAAAACGACGGGGAGAAAGAATGAAAGCGCAAGCGGAATGGGATGGGGGTTGTGTTTTGATCTGACTGCTCTGCTCCCGTCCCGTCCAGTCGCTGTGGGAAGTTGTTGACTGACAGACAACAAGGAAACACACCCACAATATATAAGTTACGCGCCGCGGAAGACGCGATTGAGGGACATTGCACGGACCAGCTGGATATTATATTGCCGGGCGGAACGAGGGCGTCACGTGGGTATTTATCTGCAACAGGCGAGAATTTTTCTTTCCGATTTCAGTTTTCTTTTATTGATCTTTGGGTTTTGGTAATTGTTCAGTTGGCAGCTGGCAGTTGAGTAACTTGAGTAAATAACTTGAAGTAACTTGAGCTGTTCTTGTCGATTAGACGATTGAAATAATTTTATTCATATTTACTGATTCCTATGCGTCTCCCTGCTCCCAGCATTCCGTGTATCATCTATCATTTATGCACGAGAAAAAAATTCATAATTTAAAAGTCGGTGAAAGAGTCGATTATTTAACATCAGGAACAGAGTGTTATTATTCTAAAAGTTCCAACTTTATACAGGAACTGTTTATATAAAAGAAAAACGCAAGGAAAAACGATGCCTAGAAACCTCAATAAAGTGCAGAAGCAGATCGCCAAGAAGAGGGGGAAGCTTGATGCACTGCATGAGAACAGCCGGGATGCAAAGCGCCTGCGAAGAGCCGGGGGAAGAGAGGATAAATTGGCCAGGGCTGCGGCGGCGACGATGCGGGGGAGGCAGACATTCGGTATGATTTACATACATACGGAGGACATCTACATGTATACACATACATTGTTTATGTTGATGTATAACGAGGATATGGGCTAATTACGAACTGCACTTTCTGTTTTCCCGTGAACAGTGGACAGAATCCGTTTCTTCCAGGAAAGCATAACAGATCCACCCGCTCCCTTCTCGGATGAGGGTGTTCTCCAGTTGATTACAAGGTGCGTACCGTTTACAGAACTAAGCCCCTCCTCTCTCCCCAAACCAATTCATCCATCCTAACCCAAACCCGAAACCCAGATTCATCGGCCGCAACCAACCAGAGCTCGATCAGCTGGCACAAGGCCGACGGCCGGGCCGGCCACCAGCCAAGCGTGAGGAAGTGCTCCGGGAAAAAATGGATGCAGAGAGCAAGGAGTTCGAGAGCGGCTTTTGGATGCCTGACATGGGCGATGGGGAGAATCTCAAGAAGCTGGCGGCGTGGAACGGGGAGTGGTCGTCGATGAGCACGCTGGGATTCATCAGGGTTGCGAGGGAAGGGGGACGGCAGAGGTCTATATTTCCGCCGAAGGGGCTTTCGTGATATTTCGGCTTTTGGGCTTTTGGGTTTTCTTTATTTGTCAGTTTGCTGCTGGCGCCAGTTAATCTCTATAGCATTCAGTGGTTGATTTGCGGATTGCTAATTAAGAAACGAGAAACGTGAAAGAAATGGAAGACCGGACGTCAGAAATTGCCTATTTGGGAAGTTAGCGTCAGACAGCCCGCATTTTCAGTTTTTCCGAGTTCCGCCAACCGCGAAAAAAAAAAAAAAAAAAAAAAATCAGATTGTGTCAAAAACTCCGTATTAAACCCATTGGTTGTCAAGCCAGCATCGAAAAATAGTCAACCAACAACCTCTCATTCAAACCTCCCCCCTTTCCACCAGCCCCACAATGTTCACCCTCCGTACCTTCACCCGTGTTGCTCCGCGCACCCTATGCAGACCCCTTACCGTAGCTGCCAGATCCACAAGAACCAGCCCCAAGCTATCCATCCTTCAGCCATGGATCCTCCGTGTTCCCCGACCTTCCTACCCAGCTGCTACGTTCTCTACTACCACTCCAAGATGGGAACCTGCGGGGCAAAGTGAGTGAGAGCTGAGATTATCCCCAATGATACAACCCAATCCCCTCTGTATGGGCTTTTGCGGAATAAATTGACTTGGCTGGCTAACTGTTGATATCACTAGCTGATCTGGAACTTGCGGCTAAGCTGCAGGAGGAGATGAAGTATGAAGCGAGCAATTCAAATGTTGAGACGCCGCCGGATTCTATTCAGTATTTCCTTGAGAATAGTCCCTTTGAGGTATGTTTGCCGGCACCCTAGCTTGTTTGGCAAGAAGATAGAGAAGAGAAATAAATATGGATCTGAAGCTGACATCCGCCATAATCAGCTTTCCCACAAAGATGGTGAAGATGAGGTCGTTCTCACAAGAACGTTCGGAGACGAAAAGTACGTTCAAAATTATCCATACCCTTATTCTTATTTCTCAATTGATAAACCCCAAAATCCAAACCCCCCATACTAACAAAAACCCCAGAATCCGCGTCGCCTTCACCATCTCCGATATCCAAGACTTAAGCGAAAGCGACTCCACCATCTCCGGCGAATCCGAAGAACTCGATCCTCGCATCGACCAATTCCAACCCCGTGAGTCGCAAGTCCCCATCGCCCACGAAGACAAAGTCTCCTCCGCCGACGAAGAAGAAGCCGACCTCGCCGACGAAGAAGAGCAAGTCCCCAGCTACCCCGCCCGCGTCAGCGTCACCATCGAAAAGAAGGGCAAGGGCGCCGTGCAGATCGAAACCCTCGCCCAGGACGGCTACATCCACATTCAGAACGTGTCCTACTTCGCCAAGGCCGATTTGGCGGATGCAACCAGCGCCGAGAAGGAGTGGACGCGCCAGAGCCTGTATAGCGGGCCGCCATTTGGGAATCTGGATGAGGATCTGCAGACGCTTATGGAGCAGTATCTGGAGGAGAGAGGGGTTGATGCGGCGCTTGCGCAGTTTGTGCCCGATTATATTGAGTTTAAGGAGCAGCAGGAGTATATTCGGTGGTTGAAAAGTATGTTTTCTTCTTTTATTGAGATGTTTTTGTGATTTTTTTGTATGTTCTGTGTATATACGATGGACACTTGGCTAACATTTCTTTTCCCTCTCGCGCAGACTTGAAGAGTTTCATCCAGGCATAGATGTGGTCATATCTCTTTCCAGTCAACAACGCCCTGCCCCTTTCTCGACCCTCCCCTCCTTGTACGGCCACCGCATCTTATTCTCCCCCCTAATCCAAGCAGCAGGATCTCCTGCACTCTATAATAATTCCATCTAGCCAACTCCATGTACCAACCAATCAATCAATGAGACCAGCCCCTGAAACTTGCGTGCCCATACACGAAAAAATTCACCTCTGTACTTCCCTTTTTGTACTGTGCTATGTGAGTGCTCTGGCTTTTTGTAATTGTTGCTTCTCTTTTTTTTCACTTGTGGTTTTTATATTAAATAAATGAATCAAAGAGGAATTTTTAATAACTTTTCTTTGAGATGTGCGGTATGGTATGGTGCATGGTAGTGGGTGGTGGAGAAGAGGTTATATACGTGCATAGAATATGGGAACCTGGGCGAAAGAACATGTGCATGCATGTAGATTGGTAAGACAAGGTTAATGCGGCAGAGAATACAGGACATACCGTCCATGAAGAGAAAAGAGAGTATGATATCATTTTGAATTTTGCTTCATCCCTCTAAGGTGTAGAGAGTGTATACAGAACAGTACTGTGTAGATCTCTCCCTGTTCAGTTTACCTGGCTACATCTTTTGCCGGCAGGAAAAGAACGCATGGAAAAAAGGGACAAAAATAGAGGAGTTAGCCACGCAAGTATCAATTGAACAGTTATCGATTTGAGTTTGTGTTAAGTTCAGTCGACATATGAGGAAATTTTATTAATCATCAGCTTGATAGCTCAAGTAGATTGTTATTTGCTCTGTTGTTCTGGCAGGTTGTTATGTATGCATGAAAAAGATGTAACAAACCAAGGACATCATTCAATCATTCATTCCCCTTTTTCCTCTTAAAAAAAAATAATAAATAAAAAATAACCCATTAAACAAGACATCACTTCCAAAAAACACCAAAACCCGAATAACTCAACCTAACCCAAAAAGCAAACTCACACCTCTCCATATCCGCCTCCACCCTCAAAACTCCATAGCACTCTCGTCCCCATCTTCATTCGCCCTCTCTCTCTTCTCCACCCCAGCCCTCTCCGCCTTGATCAACCCTGTCACAAACGAGCGGAAATAATCAATATATGGCTTCAAGCTTGTCTTCTCGTAATCCTGCAACCGCCTCCCCTTCCCATCGACATCAGCCACGCTAGACGGAACACCCCCTCCCACCCCATCAATCCCATCACCATTTACTTCTTCATCCTTCACCACCGCACCCTCACCCTTCCTCTTCCCCTCATCCTTATCCCACTCATTAATCTCCGCAATAAGTCGACTAACAGTAGGGACATCCAGCGGATCAAAATCCTCCACCCGCCTCACATCAATCGGCACACAAACCCTTCCCGTGCCCGGATGCACCACAAACGGGCTCTTGAGCAAATGTATAAGTTTCTTACTAACCTCCGCATCCAGGCGCGGATACGTATATTCCAGCGCAATATCCTGCTTCGCCTCCAGCAGCGCCTTGGTATCCAGTGCTTTCCCACCACCACCGCCCTTCCCCTTGCCATCCGGCCCGCGTGACCGAACAGACTTCGCCAACGCGTCAATGTCGTTCCATTTACTCGTGCTCGAGCGACCCGGTGCGGAGTCCCATTTCTTCCGCAGCGCGTCCACGAGGGGTTTATCAGGTAATAGGGAGAGGAGCTGCTCGGCCTGCGCTGCGGAGCTGAACGTATCCTGACCGCCGAGGATCGTGGAGGCGAAGTACGGTTTCAAAATCTCCAAACTGCGGGCTACATGCGGATGCAGCGGGCGCTTGATATTAACTCTCTTCCCGCTCTGGCTACCCCCGCGAACAACCTCCAAATACCCCGCAATAGCCTTGCGGCGGTCATCAGACAAACTTCTGGCCTTGGCATCGCATACCCATGCATGCGCCCCCCGCCGACCCGAGTAGACCCAGAGAACATGCTCGAAGCCAAAATCCTCTCGGAGCGCGGTGTCGATGACCTTTATGGCCATTGTGACGAAGGACCAGCATTTGGAGCAGATGTTGGCCTTCGTGCAGCAGGTCCGGACGTCGTCGTAATCCGTCAGGTCGATGTCGAAGACGAGTTCTTTGGCGATGGGTTTGAAGGAGGAGGCTTTTCGGAGCGATTTGCGGTCGCGTGGGTTAGTGCTGTAGACTGGGCCGATTTCGAAGCGGGAGGGGTTTAGGTGGAGGATTTCTTTGCGGAGACTGTGTGTTTTGGGGTTAGCATTTTTCTGGTTTTCTTTGAGGGAGCCATGTATTTTGTTTGGACTTGGTGAGGTAACGTACAGTTCTGCACTTGGAAATGATTGATAGCGTAAATACGCATCGTTCTGAAGAGTGAATGCGAACTCCCGATTCCCGAAATCCGGTGATGGTTTTACGGCGTGATTCAACCATTGAAAGAGATATCTGAAGGGGAATAGGCGTAGGTAGAAGGCGTACATAGTTCCAGGGTCGACTCCTGTGGGACCTGGGCCGGCAGATCTACAGAGACAAAAATATTTATCAGCTTTCAAAACCTCCTTCCTCTAAGGAAACAATAGGCGGGGAACCAGCGTACTCAGGGGTCTCTGGAGAGCTCTCCACTTTGGCAGCCACATCATTAGTGGATGAGGGGAATTCCTCATCGTCATAGTCATCGCCGTCGAATAGGTTCTCTAGCTTGACGGTCTCTGTGGGATTGGGTTTTGTTTCCTCCGCCTTTCGGGAAGCATATGTCGCATTATCATCGGCATTGCCATTGGCATCACTGTTATCCTGAGCCGGTGGAGTGGCACATGATGTCTCTGGCTCTGGGGCATCTGGCAGGATCTCATTGCCATCTTGGTCGGAATTCGACATGCTAACTTAGAGCTAGAGGAAAGGTAATGTCGTGAGTTTGTATGTGGCTTGCTGCTTCGGTCTGAAATATCAGAATATTTGAACATCTTTTTTTTCACCTCACTCTGGGACATTTGCGGGGGGACGCGACAGGACGCGTAAATTGATTACCTAATATCTTTATTTTCTGCCAATCAATGCGGTGAGGAGAAAGAAAAACGAAGTATGCAAGAGCCAGCGCTAGACCAATAAGGGCTTAGCCTCCATTCTAACCCAGCGAATGGCTTGGGGCAGCCGGAGATACGTTGATCCACGCGCTTCCTCTTTCATCCTCATCATCCCCTTTTCACATCCGTAGACTGAGATATCTACAACTATAGAGTGCTTTGATGTATATAAGTTATCCCTTCTTCAATTCCGTCCTCCCTTTTATCCAATTGCCCGTGTGTTCTGTTTACTTTGCTGATTTATCAAACACAACCTTGCCTCCAGCAGCCGGCAGGTCATCCTTGATCCTGACATGCCGCTAAACATCCATCGATAGTAAGCGTCTTAATCGATCATGATCAGAACCCAAATCCAGAATAGCACGGTGTTCTGCTTCTCCGTCGCTTTCATTTCATTTCCGTGCCCAGTGGTATACGGTCTCGGCTATTCCCGGAGCTGAATATCTCGTGAAATTCAAAATGATCTCGGCCCTGTTCGCTGAGCTTGCCTCCTATTGTTCATTCCGGAGTTCTGTTAATTTCCAGTCCCAACAGGGGTACCTAGGTATCCCCGCCAAACCTGTGAGTATGTGCTCGCACCCGTACTGCTACTAGCAGGACAAGGTGGGAGAAATGGCTTCAATGACTCCAAGCAATATCTTACAGCTTTCAACCTCCAACTTCAAGGCCTGATATGTGATCGTTAAAGTTGCCCAAACTGAGTCGCGATGCTTAATTTCCGGTGCGACAGAAACGAAGTTAGGGTAACTAGACATGGGTACTTTACTCCATTGGAAACGCCATATGATCAACGCACTTTTTCCATCACACTCAGCATTTCAGACATCGGGACCAAGGTCCATCTTTGGATCATTTGAAATATGTATTTAGAAGGGCGGAACAACCCCCGCTCTGGCACGGACCCGAGCTCTTCTTGTTCAATGTGAGCAGGGATACTGGGAAAACGATGTAGTAAGCTTAATCTGTCAAATGTGGTCAAGCATTATGCGTGACTCAACAAAATTTTTAATAAGCGAGCTCAGTTCGTTGAAATCAAATACTGCCCGGGATATCCGTCCTTGCAATGGGGGGTCTTGGAGCTTGTTCCTCTCGCTGCGCAGAGCTCTCTACAGCTATTTGTGGTAGAATCACATCAAATCATTAATTCAATAAGGCCTAGCCAGGACTTCAATCATTGGGAATACACAGCCTCTATAGGTTTGCAATAACCACCCCAAGATTATCATCTGGTTTGCATTCAGGATATCCCACAATGTCCCGAACTTCAGTGGAAGTGATCCCTACATCCGACTGTGCCCAAACCATAACATTAAAGCCATCAACAGCATCAAAGGAACCGGGAGCGTTAAAATTACCCACAGCAAAGCCCAACCGTCTCGGGGTGCTCGGTGAAGATCCTGAAAATCGAACCCAGGTGCAATTGCATCCATTGGCAGTGACGGACTCAGAAAATGTATCAACAACTAAATCCCTTTCTAAATCGAAGTCGGCCGTGATAGTCATCTCAGCTTCGAGCATGGTTTTCATGGTCAGTATATTGAACGGCATGTTAACTGTGGGCTTGCCAACAATAGCTCGCGAGACAAATTTGTCAGAGGGTCTGATGCTATGGTGAGAGACTGACCCTAGCCATACATAAATCTATAATTCCTGGCTTGTGCTTCCTGCCGCTCTTTGCTGTTGCTGTTGGTGTTGCTGGTTGTGTTCTCCATGTTGATTGCATCTCCAAATCCAAGGCCTGCATCAGCATTCGGGCTTACATGCGGCTGCACGCTTTTGCTCTCCGGTTCTATTGGCGATCTTGTCGGCAGCCGTACAGTATACCTTACCGGCTCTTTCTTGCTTGCCGTCTTCACATTAGCCTGCGGTCTGGCGCAAACAGGCATTCAGCTAATCATGTTCCGCGCAATGTCCGGAATTGCCATGTCGCTCTGTCTCCCCACCGCCGTGAGCATTATTACCTCAGCGTTCCCAGTAGGTGGAGGGCGAAACATTGCCATCGCTTGCCTGGGCGCTGCTCAACCTGTGGGATTTTCCATAGGAATCGTTCTCGGAGGAATCTTAGTTGGTTCCATTGGCTGGAGATATGGGTACTATATCTTTGCGGTTATCAACGTTCCTTTCTTCTTCGTTGCTCTCTGGGGTGTTCCTAAGGACCCGCGGAAAACCCATCCCCTTACGTGGGGACGTGCAACATCGGAAATCGACTGGGTAGGAAATATTCTCGTAAGTACTTCTCTTGGAATGTTCTCCTATACCTTTGCGTAAGTAACGTCTCCATCACTTCACATAGTCCACATCCCCTACATCCACGCATTAACATCCCACTTACAGCATAATGTCCACGGGCCCAAAATCCATCCTCCGTGCCGCAAACCTCTCAATCCTCATCCTCGCCCTCCTCTCCCTCGCCACATTCATATACTGGATAATCCGCCAAGAATCCCAAAACTGCACCCCCCTAATCCCCCCCTCCCTCTTCCGCTCAACCCCAACAACCCCGCACCGTGCCCGCAACTTCTCTGCCGTCTGCATATCCGTCTTCTTCACCTGGGCCATCTTCAACGCCCACCAGTATTTCACAACCCTCTACTTCCAGCGCCTCCAACACCTCTCCACCCTGCAAACATCCGCCCGCTTCGTCCCAATGATCCTCTCCGGCGCCCTCGCAAACATCCTTACAGGCCTCGTCGTCAGCCGCGTCCGCGCCGATCTCCTCTGCTTCTCCGTCGCTATCGTTTCAGCCGTGGCGCCGCTTTTAATGGCCCTCGCGCGTCCATCATGTTCATACTGGAGCGCCGCCTTCGTGGCCACAGCTCTCATCCCTATATCGGCCGATACGCTCTTTACCGTGTCGAATCTTGTAATCACGTCGATATTCCCGCCGAAGACACATGGGTTGGCTGGTGGGGTGTTCAATACTATTTCACAGATTGGGATGTCTGTGGGCTTGGCGGTGACGGGAGTTATTTCTAGTACGGTGACTGAGCAGGAGAGTCGTGGTGGTGGTAGTAGTGGGGGGAGCGCGAGTGATGATGGTCACGCGCTATTGAAGGGGTATCAGGCTACATACTGGGCGTTGTTTGGGGCGAGTATTTTGACTGTTGGGCTGAGCTGGTGGGGATTACGGGGTATTGGGAAGGTTGGGCTTAAGAAGGATTGACGATGGTGAATGATTAGGTTGAAAACGGGTAGGATTTGAGGATATATGGACTTTGATGATTTTAGGACAATTATCCTTCCCGATTTGAAAGACGTAGCACATAGATAGTTGGGTATATGTCCTAAGGTGTTTAATTAGAGGATCATACAGAAATGTCACTTCAGTTTTCTTCGAAGGTCTTATTCATCACTTCATTGCTAGTGTGCTAGGTCATCTTCTTTCACGGTGCGATCGCAGAAATAAAGATTGGGTATAAGTATAATTAAATATCATGCTTCGTCATATATACAATCATTCATGGAACAAAAAAGCCAGTTTATACAAAGCTAGTTGATTAATGGGCTTCCACCGGTTTACTGCTAACCTGAGCTCTCTCCTTGGCTAAACCCTGTGGCTCCTCAGCGACCTGATTGTTTTGCGCCTGCTCATCTCTGATTTTCTTGAGCAAGGCTGGGTACTGCACAAAAACAAGGGGGATTAGCACTCCAAATACATATTACCTAGGACATAAGATCAAATCAACGAACAAATGGAACAGGTTGTAAAGGAATCCAGCCCTCTCAAACCAAAAATTAAAAGGAAAGAAACGACATACCCAGCGCTCTCCAACATCCGGATGACTCTTTATCCGATTCATCAGCGTCGCCTCACCGAGATGACCCCATTTCCCCTTCGAAAACGTGAATTCAATATCGTCCTGGCGTATGCCGTTGCGTTTGATAACCTCCTCGCGCAGCGCCTTGACATGCGCGGGAACATCCATGCTCTCGAACGTGGCATCGTAGCTTACGCCCTGGAAGAAGGGGACGCTGTAGCGAGCGCCACTTCCGCGGGCTGGGCTTAGGACGCGGTGGGTCGTGCTGCATATGATGTTAGATATCTGAGGGGAAAGTATCCTTGATGCCATAGGGAAAATATATGCCCGTCCATTGCCGACTAACTACCATCTTTCTCTCTCTCAAACCGTGGAGATGTGATTGAGATTGAGCAAAATGGAAAGAAAAAAAAAAGAGGAGGGAGGGGGGGGGGGTAACAACTCACCTCTGACAAACACCCTGCGTCATAGCCTCCAAACCTTGCCCCATAGCCACAACAAGAGTCCCATCAATAGGCGGACAATCTACCCACTCTCCCCGATGATTCTGCACCTGCAACCCCCGATGCTGACTCGCCTGCAACAAATAGCTCGTAAGCATACTATCCTTATGCGGACCGACACCCTGTCCCTCCCCCTCCTCTGCCGGAACCTCCAGCTCATCCAGATCCGGATACTTCACGATCTTCAACTTGTGCTGCTGCGTCTTATCGAAGAAGCGCTCGAAAGCATTGGCCGGCAGTCCGATGGCCTCCGCCACCAGCGAGATGAACTCCATGCTTATATCGCCCATCTTGGTCATGTACTGTTCGTAGACGGGGCGGAAGTTGGGGAGGTAGGCGGATTCGGGCCATTGGTTGGGGGCTAGGAGGTTGTGGTAGAGAGGGGCGGAGGGCCAGGGCAGCGGGTGGGTTGTTGAGAGATCTATCTGCTCGCGCCAGTCGGTTTTGAAGCGGGTTATTTCGTTCCCGAGGCGGGAGTAGCCTGTGTAGATTTGGTTAGGGGGGATCAGTCTTTGCTTTCCTTTCTCTGGTGTTCTTTTTGTGTCCGATGCACTTGCGCTGATGGCTTTGGACTTGTCCCACTCCTTATAATCACAGTCCGCATGAGTATATAGATATATGCGCTCTTCATATTGAAGCTATATCATACCAAGAAAACTAGGCGCATTCTTCATCTCAATCTCCAATTTTTTCTCATCAGGTAACTCAAAGAATTTCTTTCCTTCATCAATAACCTCTTGTATTAGCTTATCATCGATGCCTGTGTTCTTGATATATAGGAATCCAACTTCCAGTAGCGCATGTCGCAAGGAATCGAGGAAGGCCGGCTTTGCTGCGGGATTCCGCGCCTCAGCCAGATCGAGGATGGGGATGGAGTCGAACGACATTGTTTTATATTGTATGCATATGTAGATATACAGTTGGTATGAACAAATGTAAGAGTGCAAGCTGTGTATATGACGTGTGTATGTGTAAATGTGTATATGTGTATTGTGAATGTGTCTACTGCATCTTGTGTAGTTGAATGAGGGGGAGTCAACTGAACTAATTATGACGACACATCCTCGGCGAAAATGATCAAGTGGCTGTCGACATCGCTGGCATCCATGGATCAATGCCGAAGCCGATGAGATGTGATCTAACTATTCCGTACATAACTCTCGGAGCTTAGAGCCGAGATTATTTCTGAACAAATATTTAACCCCCTGCCAGTCCAGTACATGTCCAGTTCCTCCACCAACAAGAGCGCTAGCTCGAGTTAAAGCACATACTTCCAGCTGCCAACAAGATATCAAAAATTTTCCACATACCGCTAGCTTGAATAAAGAAGTTCTAAATAACTGCTAAACGCCCTTGAGAATCCCAATAAGCGGCTCAAGTCAGTAAGTTACATGGGCACAAATCATCCTCTCCTTTATCTATGCCGTAACGGCTTTTGCACTAAAATGTTTAACGACACCTTCAAACAACACATTAACACTGGGCAAGGCAAATGACGGTCCCACATCAAATATATCAGTCAAGTTGCCTGCCGCATTCGCATTCGCCCTACCTTGGCCAAAGCCAATCTGTCGCGATGCCGATAGCGGCTCTACAGCACCTGTACCGGAGGGCAAGCTTCTTCGTTCAAGTGACCCATACGTGCCGAAAATATTCTCTAGGTCCGTCTGTATCAGAGATGAGGACACGTCAGCAGCGATTCGTGGTATAGCCTGTTTGAAATCGCCCGAGCCAATCCGATGAATCTGCGCCGCGGCATCTATCAGAATGTATTCACCAGTCCGCAGGTCGGGGAGGAGGGCGAGGCAGGCATGATCCAATTTCATCTGGAAGACTGGTTCCAGGGAATTTATGTTGAAAACGGTCAGATGGTGGACGGGTTTTGCCTGTAGTTCAGCCCGTGGCTCATCTGGTGCTTTCCGTTTGATGCTGGCGAATGTCACAGCGAATGTTTGGCTTTTGCGGTTTATGGAGAGCAATTTTGGGTGTGAGTCTGGTGAGTAGGTTTTGTCGTCTTCCATAGCCATTATTAGTCTGATTGTATCAGCCACCGTATCCCAAACTACCAGTTGGGTTGAGAGGATGACCATGTACCGATCCAAAAAGCCTACGCCGTGCTGGGTGCCTTGGTAGAGGTTATCCCGCCTATGGCATATCTCTCCCGTATGAGGGTTGATGAGATACACCAATCGGGCTCCTTTCTGGTTAGTCCAGCAGACAGCAAGAACCGATCCGTCATCTGAAAAAGCGAGGCTTGCGGTTTTGGAAGGTGTTGGATCAGATCCATGCACAATCTTTTCGAGTGGGATATTGCGGATAGGTCTCCATGTTTGCAGTGCTTGATTGTGCTTATCTTTGACCACCTGGCCACTGCGATAACGAGCATGGGGCGACCAAATTCGGACGACGGCGTCTTCTCCAACTGTAACAAAAGCCGAGCCAATAGGGCTGGCTGTTAGGTCCAACACTCGTGTGGAGCCTTGGGAAGTGTTGAAGTGCGGGGCATCAATGCGGGTACTAAGCTCCCACTCCTTCGAGCTTTCATTCCAGCGCCAGAACTTTAGGAAAATTTCTCTTTTCTCTTTTCCGGGGGTGATGCTGGTGGGATACAAGACGCTCACGTCTTGGGGATACTGTAACCATTCATCGACGGTTGACAGCCACTCTCCGTCCGATGTTACACCAAGATACTTGATATCCGGCGTGGTTAATTCCGTACCCTGAGGTCCAGTCTGGATGACAGAAACATTAGTTCTCGCAAGTGCCTGGCGTGATACATGTTGGCCCGTGAGCAGATCGAAGGTCTGAAGAGATGATGCGCTGGAGGGGCTATCGAGAGAGCGTGCTGGTGAGGAGGAAACCGCTGCTAGGAGATACTCAGATTGCACAGGATGTAAGATGGCAGGCAAGCGGCTTTGGGTTGCTTCGACGGGTTTCGAGCCTGAAGGTTTATCCTTTCTGGTTGCTTGCGATGCTAACTGCAAGCCACTCACGCTGGCAATAGGTCGTAGTTCTGACGTAGAAAGAACCATGGCAGAGTTGTCCGCAAGTCTAACTGCGTAAAATTTTCCTGTGGGCGATACAACGACGGAACAAATAGTGGACGATAGATGGGGCAAGAACTGTTTTCTTCCAGTATCGAGCTGATATTGTACAATGACAGTCTCCGAACCACCTGAGATAATATAGTTTCCTACGCAAAAGAATGTTAGCTCTAAATTTGTATGTTCTTGTAACTTAATAAGGCTATTTACCGTCTCGCGACCACTTTAAGGTTTTGACAGCGGTTCGGTGCCAATGCAGGCGGTTTGTCACTAAGCTCGTCCCGGAATTGCCTCTGTTCTCAGTCCGAAGCAAAGAATTGAGGATGTCATGGTAGATCAAAATTGCACCACTTTGGTCACCCAAAGCTAAATCGACTACTCTCGACACTGCAGAAGATATTGACGATTTCGAAGAAGAAACTTGAACAGATGGCGAACGCTCACGAATATCAGAGCAGGTAACAGAGATTGGCAACGTAATTTCTAGCCAGGTATACTTGATGGAATCCAGAGAGTCCAGTCGTAGTTTAGATATATATCCGACGCAAAGTTGATCATCAGCAATGACGACAACGACCCTCCCATCCGCGGCAACTTTTAACTCACTGGCTGGCATGGAAATCTCCCGAATGGCTCTGCTTTCCCAGGATTTGGAACCACCCTTGACGTGGATCCATATCTCAGTCTTCCGAGAGCTTACCCCACTCATTGTAAAAATAACATCCTCATTTGCAGAATCTTGACCCCAAGAGCCGGAGCAGGTATCCATGGAGATTATGTTATGGCCAGCTTTCCATGTTTCAATCCGCTCGCCAGAGAACCAGTCCCATTTCGAAATCGCTCCCAAGTGAGTTGCTATGTACAAATGCTGTTCCGCATTGACCACGGAGAGCTTGCTAGCCGCAATCTCTTTCCGTACGTCCAGAGTCCTTACTGGGCTGGAAGTTGCTACGGAAAATACCCGAGCAGAAGTGTTGGAGAAAAGGATGAAGTGTCTATGCCATGTTAATAATTTGATACCTGTCACAGAAGCAAGTAGGCTGGCGAAATATATATGGATACCAAGACTTACTTTTCATCAGGTGTGATAACAGTGTCAATATCACTAAATCTGCCACCCACCGTTCGTGATACGCACCACTCTGTCGATTTCCTCAATTTATTCGACAATTGCCCATCCGTTATCGAATTCATTTTGTTGCGCTTTGAAACAGCGGTGGATGGAGTCGCAAAAACATCGTCACCCGCTTTCACTATCAGGGCACCATCATCTGGCTGAGGTGCCTTTCCATTTCGTTCATGTTTCTCCTTTTTCCTGCTATGTTCTTTCGTTGGTGTTTTCCGGTCACTTTTCCTGTCAGGGGATTTAGCAGCTGTGCTGGCCTGCTTCGTCGTAGACGTAGGAAAACCGATTTTCTCCTTCGAAGAAGAGTGATGCCCTATCCTGCGCCTCTTAGTTCGATCCTGTTCAGGAGCCATCTTCTGGTCCGTCGTATCATCGACAGCCAATGGTCGTTTATCCGCTAAACGTGCGGGAGACTTTTTCGAGGGCATTGGGGGAGAAGTTGGGAATGTTTCTTAGGTCCTCGGTCAAGTTTCCAGGGGTAAAACCCATTCTATAAACACACAAGTATATGTGCGTTTTTACCTATCCCGCAGAGCACTAGATTATTACTACGGGTAGAGTCCATCCCTCATTCCTGTCCCTTTTTGCTTGTCGTTTCTTCTTAAGAGAAAAAAAAAGTATGCGGTTTGGAGCTAACAAAAAGTTCGCGGCAGAATCTACACCGACAAATAGAGCACTAGACCAATTTGGGAAGCAGCATCGAGATCGAACAAAAAATTTCAAGCCTCAAAACAACAACTATATCAGTCAATTACCTACGGTTGTTTCCAGCGCTGTTGTTTGAACTCTTGAATTGCTGTGCTCATTAGGTTCCATAGGGAGGAACTTAGCGTTCTCTAGTCCTGCATCTCAATACCATCTCGCCTCTTTCACCTCGTCCGATTCACCATGATTATCCCCGTTCGCTGCTTCTCGTGTGGAAAGGTGAGCCCTGCCCGACACAGATCCCTTCATTTGGGCTACAGGCTAATAATGGTATAGGTTGTTGGAGATCTCTGGGAACGATACCTAAAGCTTCTTGATGAGGGCGTGCCTGATGGGTAAGTTCGTTTAAACATTCAACAGCCTCGAAGAGCGCGCAAACCCAAGGGGAAAGAAGTCATTATGTGTCTGATAGTAATGCGGCATATACAGGGATGCAATGGATCAGCTTGGCTGTAAACGATACTGCTGTCGACGAATGCTCATGACACATGTTGACTTGATTGAAAAGCTTCTTCGGTACGAAAAAAGCTCGTTTTGTTCTATATCCTTTCCCATCCGGAATATTCCATTCTAACCGATGATACATGTGGATAGATATAATCCTGCGGAGAGAGATCGAGCGAAAACCCAACTGTAGATTGTCGGATTAAAACACCTCCCGTTATTTGATTGAGTTCAGAACAATGACCTCCACAGCCACGCACATATGCACGAGCGAGAGGCCCTTCATCCATCTTAGTTCCTTTGATACGCCGTGACAACCCTTTTTTGGACACCTTTATTCGGGACGATGAGATAACGCCCTATTCCATCCGTCTTTTTGATTTACCGGATCTTCGGTTAGAAAACAATGAGCCCACCGGTCAAATCCTCGCTCAAACACCGACCTTTTCGAATCATGTTCCACGAATAATTGCCCAAACCTCTTGGGGGAAACATTCGAGAACCAGTAACTAACATTCTTCATCTACATTTTACTTTACCGGATAAAAACCATCATTAAACGCCGATTATGTAACTTTCGCGGGGTGGATTTGAAAGGTTAGTTACTGGTCGAAATGCAGAGGATTATGCAGCTTGCACTGGAGGCGCAGCAACAGAGCAGGTTAGAGTGACAGCTTCATGTGGAAAGGGAGGGGGAAGGAAGGAAAAGGAAGATCGAAGGAAAAAGTGCGATTATTGTCTAAATAATAGCGTATGATATTATTACTGAATAGACAGATCTAATGCGGATTTTCTTCTTGGACTGATCAGTCCCTCTACCAGCATCCAGAATATATATTAAAGAATTACTAGCAGATTGGGGCCAAAGTCGAAACCCTGATACTGCACCCTGCAACATAAATACAAAACAAGCAAAACAAGGGTGTTATCTCTGAGCATAACCGAATATGCGGTATGCGGGTTGTTGTTATGAATCTAGGTAAATAATTTCTCTGAATCTTCAGATTGATTCAGCAATTAAAAGGCGATATTCAGGCAGCTTCTTCGCGCAGGGGCATACGGGAGGAATGGTTTCGGTTGCAGCGAATACCGATCATGGAACTCCGAAATCCGATTTCCCGAAGCGAGCGCATTCGTTGGCTTTCAAAAGTTACTAAGGACCAGGGGAGCAGTCAGTTAAAATAAAGTCGTTTTAAGGGCTTATTTCGTGCCGGCTTCATTGTTCTGCTGATTGAGGACAGGAGCAGGGATGCATGAGCAACCATCAGCACTACGAGAGTTACTAATAGTCCCAGGTTTCAATGTCGCGGGCTGGCCAGTGACAGGGAGAGAGGACCAAAGCATTTAGGCCATTCTTCACACAATCCCGTCTGACAGGATTTTGGATCGGACAAATTCGTCATGACACAACCTTAACACTGTGCTGGGACTGAGAGGAGTTCGTCCAGTCCAATAGCCCAGCACGAAACAAGGACATGAATTGGAACCTAATTGTCCTCAGAAGAAGGAATTCTTTCCACCAGGCAGCCTAGCCTGCTTAGATACATTACAGCTTTTAACAACCATCGCCTTCCTGCATCTGATCTATCTAGTTGTTTTTTGTTGTCGTCGTCGACAGTAGTTGGCCAGTTCATCAGAAGAAACAGCCAGCCTTGCCAACCCTAGAATGCCTGCAATGATACGAGCCAACTAGAAGACTGACATTTTCGTCCATCCAAGAAAACAAGCAACTAATGCAGCTGTCGAGAAACAAACTCGCGCTGTGACTGGTCGATGCGGCCTATTGGTGTCCACCATCACTTTTTCCCAGCGGCTAAATTGCAGCTAAGACTGCTAAGGATTTGCTATAGCGGACGGAATCGACAAAGCCAACAACCCCCCAACCACAAGCCTGTGTCGCCTTTGGCCGTGGCTTGCTGTTCCATCCGTGCTAGGTCGCTACCGGGGTGGTCGGTCCCGTCTTCGATTGATTCTTCTGTTCTCTTGTGGTTGGAATAACGAAGAGGAGAACAAGAGGGATCACAGAGAAACCCACTCATACCATATTTACCATACCTGTGGACCCGTGAACAAAGCCAGCAGCGGATTCTGTTGAATCTCTGACAATTCAAGTTCTATTCTGGCCCTGTGGACACTCCCTCTTGTCTTCTGCAACGAATCCCCTTGACTGGATTTTGGCCCCCTCGTTTTCTTTGAGCGTCTTTCAAACCTCGCTTCCCCATCCAACAACAACCTTGGACTGGACAGACGGTGGAGCCAGCGGAAGAAGACCTGTGCGGGGTGTGCAGTGTAATCAATCATCGATTTGACTGGCACCTCGCAGATCCTGGTTCAGGACATTGGTTTCGAGCATTGGACAGCTTGTCGTCTTGTGTTAATTTTTTTTTTTTTTTTTTCAAGCAAATTTTATAACTTTTCTTTCTTACTACCAAATTTTATACACTCAATCCGTCTTCGTTACCTCTATTTATGGGATGATAGGCACTACAGATCTGTTCCAGAGGGCATAGCCATAATAACTGATTCTGTAACTAATCAGCGACCTCCAGTGAGTCCCTTTTATCACTGAGATACGCTCCGTCAACGCTGAAATAGGTCTTCTCTGACAATATGAGCCAAATTCCTGTTGAGGGTTTGGCTGGCCAAGCAATCACCAACAGCGGGGTCATTCGTATCAAAAGCACGAGCATTGAATGATCGTCAATTTGCTCTTCTAAATACCTTCATATAACAACATTTGATCTCTCTGATGATCCTCCTGGATCTCTCTGATAAACCGACATGCTAGCTGTTAGATCCCCGTCTTCTGTCTCCTCGGGACCCCAATTATCCGCATTCTCCCCATACTCTGCGTCACCAAGTTCACCAGCTCCTCTTTTCTCAATGTAAGTTGAAAGTCTCAAGATATATACTGCGAGAAGTTCCCCTCTGATCATGGCTCTAACTCCATTCCTGCTAGGAAATCTGACAAACAACCTCCCTCTCAACGATCGCCATCACCCTCCCACATGTCCGCCGATTCTCGATCGACCGAAGAGGCTACTAGCAGGACCTCCCCAAAGGCCCTCACCCCAAACGGACCTGATGTTTCGGAGAACCAAGATGCGATCATCAACGGGGATATTGGCCGCTACATTCCGAGGTCGGGAAGCTCACTCAGTGTATGATTCCCGCTACATGCTGTGCAGAAACGCATGAGCTGGTATCAATTGATATCCCTATAGATCCGCACTTCCGGTGCTGGAGTGAGCGACTTCAAACCTAGCTCGGACGAGGATGAACCCCCGCAATCTGTAATTCACGTCCCCTCCGGTTTTGGTAAATTTGTAGGTTTCTCCTTTCCTTCTGGATTTGTCAAATTTGTCACTATTCACATTGAGACTGATAATTCAGCAGCTAGATAGTTCACCTTCTCCCCGCGCAGAGTCTATCAGATCATCGTCGGCACTATCGGATGTGACAGTCACTACGCAACTGGCAGTCCACGGCCATAATGCGGGCAAGGTTGGCTCCACCTAACAAACCCAGATGTGAACTCCACTAAAAATGGGCTCTAGAAAATGTCATCCAGCCCTGTATCGCCGCCGCCAATCACCACGCAAATCGCACCTCCCGAGGACTGGTCAGATCGAACAACGCCTCTTGCAAAAACAAGACAAGAGGTTGAAGATTTCAAAAAAAGGGCTAGGAAAAGCAACTTGGAAGGTACACTCATAGTATCCTTTCTTTGTGTCTATATAGTAGTCTGACACTCTTTGGCAGATATACCGGAGACTTTGGACACCGACCAGCCTGTTGAAGAAACTGAAGATGAAACCGAGCCAACCCCAATTAAAATGACTTCTACAGTTGGTAAATTTCAGGATACGGAGGATGAGTTGGATGCCCTGAGAGTTGCATTATCGGAATGCTGGAATTTGTGTAATACCCTTGCGAACTTAAGTTATATCCATCGAGAGCGATTGTTTAACTTTTCCGGAAAGGGAGACAAGCAGGAACAGGCTTGGAAGTCGTGCTGGCAACTTTGTCAAAACCTTTATGAAAATCGAGATAGCGATGACCATCAATTCCACGTACGGCCAACGTTAGATCTTTGCCGTGACTTTTGTCAAGCGCTGTTTGAAGTTCGCGTGCGTGATAATGAAGTCGCCGACTCCGTGCTGCGTGTGAGTTTTGAGCTCAACAACCATCTGTATAATACCCACGATCGAAACCTGCCCGAAGCATTTCGGGAACGGACATTGGATTTTTACATCACGCTATGCCATCGCCTTATGAAGCAACGAACACGATTAGCGGAAGAAACAGACTCCCTCTTGAAGGCTTGCTGGTCACTGGCCGAGATGTTGTTCAGCTTACGGCAAAGCAGGCGGGAGGGCAAAGAACCCGATGAAGAGCTCCTCGGGTCCGCTGTGCAGGCATGCTGGGAATTGTGCGATCTTTTCCGCGAAGGCTGGACTCAGATTCGACCGGATCGCGGCACCCCACGGCCCAGCCAGACCACCTTCACCCAAGCATTTTACCAAGCTAAACGATCCGAGTATGCCGTAATGGCCGAGGAGTCCCAATCTCAGAACCGCGGAGGGAACCCGGAAACTCCCACGACAATATTTGAAGATACCACCACAATTTCACCTGATGAAGCTCCCTTGCCTAACATTCTCCTCCTAGGCCCTGGCCTCACCCAAGTAACCCCTCCTAAATGGTCATCTAACTCCTCCACGCTGTCCGGCTACTCCCAATCCTCATCCGGAAAGACAACAACATCATCATCCAACAACACCGTCAAATCCCCCGCGGAAGACCCGAACCTTACCTGCCTGAAACTCCTAATTGTCCGTGCAGCCATGAACAGCGGTTTCCAGCGGGGGACGACTCAAACGCTATCTGCGTTTGTGAAATCTCTCTCATCAGATTCCTTCGGCACGTTGGTGTGGCAACGCACACTTCTAGAAAATTATAAGAAACTGGTTGTCTTTGACGCGGCATTCCGCGACGTTGCGCCGCCTGCCCGTGCGGGTGCAGTGGATGTTGCCAACGCGGTCAGATCTATGGTACTGCATAATGGGCAGTATATCTGGCTGCAGGACCTGTACCGATTGGTGTTTGGCTTCCATACCGAGGAGGCGTTACACCGAAAGAGCGTTACTGTTCAGACGTAGATATAACGGCCTTCTTATTCTTCTTCATAACTGACCCATAGAAAGGGCTTGTTTTTCCCCTCAAGCGGGCTCGAATAGTTCTTATTATTACCATTATATAAAAGAGATACCCCACACGCTGTTTGCGCTCTAGACCCTTCCTCTGGCTTGTTTCTTTCCATGTATAGCTGGTGGCTGACTTGTTTTGTTTCAATATTCCTCGCCTACAATCATGTCGACGCCTCAGTATATTCTCATTAAGCAAGCCAGCAGGGGTTCCAACAAACGTCATAAATACTCATTTTCAACCCCATTTTCCTTTCTCCAATTCTCCAACCATTTGATTCTCCAAGACGTATGAGTCCCCTCCCACTTCTTATCACCACAACCATCGTATATCTCTCTGGATGTCCCTTTGGATGCTATCATCTTACCCTCAACCCATCTTCCCCGACCATGCATTTAGACCTCCATTCTCCATTCTCCCATCTCCCGTTCTTGTCCCATCCCAGCAGTTTTCTTCCCATTATTTTTGGACACCTACAAAGCATTTACATTTACCACATTTCTTGCTTACTCGATTGATTGATATCATCTCCTATTCGTCCACTTACCAAAATTTACGGATTCGGCCCATATGGTGAAATTAGCTTTAACACTCCTGTCTCCAAACCCCCCAACCCTTCCCTTTTCCAATTTCTTCCCCTCTCCCATTTTGCTGCATCCGGATCTCTTCCCCTGTTCGAAAGCAGATAACTTATTGATCCTGCTCTGCGAGTAAGGCAAGCTAAGCTATGTAGTTTTCTCTTTTCCTTCTTCCACTAGTTCTTATGTGATGACTGGAATGGGAAATGGGGTATGGGTCTTACTTCTTTTATGGTATAAACATATATATACATAGCTATTTTACCAAATTGATAAACATCTATCTCTCAACGTAATTTTGGCGTTTTCCCCCCTCCCATTGTTCTACTGGGAATTAATAACACTTGAATAAAGTGCCCGGACTTATACAGCTGGCACGGACAAAAAGGAATCAAATCAAGCCACTCTATACTCACAATCTCAACTTTCAAAGGACACCTCGCCATAGCGTCTAACCATTCTGGACATACATTCAAATGAGCAGACTTTCTCTGCAAAGTCTGTTTTCCTTCTTTCCTTTTTTCGTTTTTTGCGTGTGTATTTCCATATTTTGAACTTCGCCTACAATACGTCTGCGCATGGGGTGCCATTGCAAATCGTAAATTAACTAATTTTTTTTTAATTTATGATTTGCAATTTACCCATAGGGCTAATAGCATATACCAATCCGAGAAGCAAGGGTTCAAAGGAAAATGTAGTTCAGCAACTGAGAAACGGAATCTCCCGGGGTAGTTCATGTTGGTCAGTATGCGTGGATCTCTACCCCGTAGTCTGATAACAGATGCTACGTACAACACCATTTCCCGTAATTTGATTCCACTACTAATTTCCAGTAATTGCGGATTATGAATAATGAAAGTTTTATAAAGATGGCCTGAGAGGTGTTTGCTTGTCCTCTTTTATATGAGTCGCATTAAGCTTAGCCAGGATGGCAGTTAGCCGCCCAGACTGCAGCCCGTATCTCAACTTGCATAGGGGTTACATATTGCGCAACATACATGCATGCACGCATTCATGACGATGATGACGCACAGGATATTTCTTTTGCTCAAAAGTATACCCATGCAGAACCACGAAATAGCTTATTGCTGTCCCAGTTCTGGAAATCTCGATTTATATTTTTTGAGTAGTTTTATCCGTGGATTGTACCTTTCATCCATGCATCTCGAAATAGGCTGCAGATCCAGGCCTTGCAAATAATTCACTACTTGGGATTCAAGGCAGGTTATCCGAGATTGTCCTGTTATTTTTACCTTCTGCTAATCCCTGTAAGCAGAAAATTCGAGAAATGGTGACCTTCATGGACTACCTTGGTTAAATATCAGAGATGGAATGGGACTGCATTGCGTCCTGTCCCCCTCCTCTTTTTATGAATGACAGCATATGGAGGCTTTTATTTTGAAATTCTCTGAATTCCTGTCTGTTAAGAAAATGATAGTGTGATGTGATTGAATATTCCGTGGCTGGAGATTTCTATAGGCTGCCTCATATTCAGCATGTCAATGACGAGATTGATGCGCAGCATAAAAGTTATGCCATGTCTGTCTGTGGAGATCCTGCCACCAACATCTCTTCTTGAAGTAGATGCTTAGCCGACCAACCAGGTCCTCACAGCTGCCCTGGAAGTTCTCACGGACTCACAGACATTGACTGTCGGGGATCATCAGTTTACTTGCATAGGTTACACTATGCGTTAGGCGTATTCCTGACCTGGCAAGCCCTCCCGGCGTGAAGCAGCGGTTGCATACGGCCCACAGCAACGCCTCATAAGTTTGCATATCAAATTCATATCCCAAATCAAATAGTTATCCAGCATCCATATTTTATCCTCATTTTGGGCGGCCACGTTAAGACCCTTGGTGAACCCTCCAGGTGCCGCGAATTAAAAGCTGCGAATCTGCGATTCTTGCGGTTCCGCACAGCTGATAAGCGCTGTAGAAGATTCTGCAGTGGAGCCCAGAATCGCTAAACGGAAAATCCAGCTGGCATGCTATTAGCCGTGTGGGAGACTAAGCTGCTGGAGAGGGTACGTTAATTTAGTAAGAGAGGTGAGCGGGCAAATTCCCTTCATTGATTGTTCTCTTTTTAATTTCTATTTTTTTTTATTTTTTTATTTTTATTTTTTTTTATTTATATATTTTTATTTTTCAACAATTGTCGATAATTGTCATCTAAAAAGAACATGAATGGCACACAATGCGACACTTGTTTCAACTGAATTTGAAGTCTGTGCCCTTCAATCTCCCTTTTTCATACCTTTTGTAAAACATCTTCAGATAGTCAAAAGACAGAGACTCGTTCAGATAAACAAGCAGAAGAGCTAACTTCTGTTGGTAATCCAGGAACCGCGGAAACTTGGAGGCAGATTTTAGCATCCAGGAGGAAAATGTTATTTCCACCTTTGCCCTTGGGCGAAATCTTAACAAGCACACTGCGAGCCAGTTGCTAGCTCAGTCCGGCTTGGGACTGCTTCATATCGCCGCTGATTCCAAACCCAAGATCTTGGCATATCACCCTGTAGCTAGCGGAGGGAAAAGAGAAAGAGAGGGAGAGAGAGAATTGTGGAATGCTTTCCAATGTGATCTGATACCGCATAATGATGGCTGTTAACCGCTTTGGAACGGGCATCTACCCTTTCTGTTCTCCTATAAGTTCCATCTTTCCTCCCCTTTGAGTAACGACATTGGTATTTTGGTAAAGTCAGTTTCTCGGGAGTCACCTGGATTTATAGGGTGAAAGGGTCCACCGTGAAATCTCCACAGACCACTCCTAAGTATACTCTTCAACAACATGCAGACTGCATTTTTGTTGGAGAGATGATCGCTCTTCTCCATTGCCATCAACACAATTGGGGTTTGCCTTCATTAAATACAGCAACAGTTGTTTCTAACATTGCTTTGTCACTCATTAGGCAAGGCCCTAACCAGGGAAATTTACTGACTCTTCCAGCCATCTATTATATAACTGCTCAGAACCAATTTCCGAATGGCTACAATGGTTTCAGCACTAGTACTAAACCCTCCCCCCGAACAACAAACAAAAAAACAAAAAAAAAAAAAAAAAAAAAAAAAAAAAAAAAAAAAAAAAAAAAAAAAAAAACATACAATTCAATATCAGCTCACATCCCACCAACGTCCCAGAAATTCCAATTTCTTTTCTGGTCTCATATTCATATGCACCTCCCAGTGCCATACAGCGCTCATGGCGGGAGAGCGGAAAACTTGGCGGCTGGCTGCTCTCATCCACATCCCCTGAGCTACATGTCAAGGACAATCCACTCTGGTATGCCTCCGACATGTTCCCAGTGTTGTAGCCATCGTGGAAATTCCCACATGAATCAATGACGGAAATGTGTATTTAATGCTGCTGGAGCCCATCCCAGATTTTGCTTATCCCCCTTTTTCCAATTTTTCCAGGTTTGTATTCCTTTCCTTCTTTTCACAACACTTTTTTCGATGATTTGCAGTGTGAATCCAGCGTATGAGACATCCATAGCAGTGCTTGGTCACCTTTTGTGTTTGTGTCGGCTGTATTTGCTGCAGGTTGATTCTGAGAATCGAGATATTCTTCCCCGCAACCCCTGTATGCGTTGCTTCCCTTCATTTTAAGCAGCAGCGATAGGTCCCCGGATCTCCATGTATATGTATCCCCACATATCCCCAGGTCGCTGTCTTCTCCAGCCCCACGTTCTGCAAAAATGAACGATCCAGGAGCTCCCAGGTTCGCGGGCCTGACCGGCCAGGACTGTCACTCGCCATTTCAATGGTTGCCACTACGGGCCTTTTGCTTCTCGGTTATGATCGTAGGTTTCTCCATTTTCCTTTGCTGGTACCAGACATTCTGGGAGATGGATCAATTACCCTTATTGTTCCCTCCTTTTTTTTTTACGACAAAAAATATTTCAGAGAAGCAAAATTGACAATCTTCTTTACCGGAGGGTTTATGTTTGGAATTATCAACGCCAAACCATTCAATAACTCTTTCCCACGGACTCGTGATAATGTGGCGCAGCAGGGTTTTGTAATTGCAATTTATGAAGTTAATTCATTTACCCAAATCCTTTTATCCTCCTGATATAATCTCCAGACCCGAAGGTGGCGTGCATAGGTTGTCTGGCTGACGCAATGGCTATTGTTTGGCTAGGATACATGCTTGGACGCCGCAGGGCCATTATTAAAGGTGGCTGTATCATGATTATCGGCATTACTAGTCAAATGGTATCCATCCCAGGCTCCGGTGCCGATGCGCAATTTATCATCGGACGAATCGTGACTTGCATTGGCAATGGTATTAACACATCCATAATCCTGACACCGGGCGGAGTGTTCGCGAACATCCAACCGCGGTCTCCTGATCCGTATTGAAGGCGGGTTGTTTCTTTTGGAACATTGATTGCATTCTATATTGATTTTGGATCAACATATGGACCACCTGATCTGACGTGGAGATTTCCTATCACGTTGCAAAATATCTTTGGAATTTTTATTGTTGTTGGAATGTATTTCCTGCCTGATTCTCCAAATTGTCTGTTCTTGCGGGAGCGTTACGACGATGGTGAAGCTGTTATTGCTTGCTTTTGAGGGGGAAGATATTGGGCATCCGGATGTCCAACTTCAGCAAAGTATTGTGCTGGACTCAATCAGAGTATACACGTCTGACGAAAAAACCATCTCGCATTTCACATTGACTAATCTGCAATAACATTAACAATTTCCTCTATTCCAGGTCAGGCATCGGCTCCACCTCAACCCCAATGTCTTCAGTTTTCACCAGTTGCAAAACGCAACATTTCCGCTGAATGCTTTTCGGAGTCTCGGCCCAATTCATGCAGCAAGTAGGCGGCTCTAACCATTACTTCCCAATCCTATTTCAAAAGCTCCATCATCCCCGGTGATAACTTCATGGCCATGCCTCTCGTTGGGCGTAAAAATGATCGTCTATTCTATCTTCTCTGCCACATCCTGGTTCATGATTGAACGGGTGAACCGGCGCATGCTCTTCAAATCGGCAGCACAGGTCAGTGTCTGTCTATGATGCTCACCTTCGCCTGCCTGCCTCATCTCAGGTACACAAAAGGCGGCCACCGGCGCCACCGTTGGCCTCTTCACCTATATTGCTACTTTCGGCTCATCCTGGGTGTCACTAGTATGGCTCCACCCAGACAAAATTTCACCCATCAAGACGCGGGCAAAGGCCAACGCGCTTTCCACCTGCTCCAACTGGTTCTTCAACTTTGTCATTTGTCATGGTTGTCCTTGTGATGCTTGACGGGTCAGTTGGGGTACATATATGTACTTCGCTTGCGTGGCGCCTGCTTCTTCCCTGTCTTCTACTTCTTCTACCCAGAGACTGCGCGTCGCAGTCTGGAAGAGATCGATATCATTTTTCGCCAAGGGCTTCACAGTGAAGATCAGCTGCGTGACTGCCGCTAAGCAGCTGCCCTATCTTTCTAAGGATGAGATTACGCAAATGATCGAGCAGAATGAATTCGGCTCTAAAGACGATTTACAACAAGATGAAATCAAAAGCACGATGAGGACAGCAAAGGCTCGAACGATAGCAAAAGGCGGAAAATCACGGGTATATGAAAAAGAGGGGCCGGAGATATGCTTTTGGGCTATGTACTACGGGCCGTTTCGTATTCTGGAAATGTTTCATTTCACGAATGGAACCATTGGTTGTTTTTCTCCTTTTTCTTCAATGCCACTTCGTGGATGTGTGCTATCAACCAATCAGAGTAGCATGCATTATTCCCTCATAGAACACTTAACATTAGGTAGTTAAGACGGTCAGTTCCCTCTCATTATAGATTTCATCACTCTTGAGAGATCATATCTGGATTTTTATAATCTCCTCGTGTTTCTTCCTCAATATCTAAGAGATAGTCGGTAGAAAATTATTTATCCTTCCATCCATGAAATCTCTCGAAATGCCTGTTTCTGATTTAATTACTGGCAGTTGAACTTGCTCTGGTGCAAGGATGTTCAAATCCTCCAATGGGGCCGCGTCTGGACTTTTTTCCGGGGTTAGTTTGTTTAGTTAACCAGATGTTAACTCGCCAATCTGAGTATGTAAATGGTGAAATGTCACCTCGCTGAAAAATTAACCAAAACAGCTTCAATGGAATTATGATCAGAGGATGTTTCTGGTCTCTGATTGGGAAGTCGACGATCTATCAACTACTTTCTCAATCTGAGATGAGTTCTAGACCTCCTTTCTCATCGCCGGTTCTTTTGAAAATTCCCCTCGGAAACCGATCATCCCTCATGTCCTGGTACATCCAACCTCAACGCGTGAGAATACCACCAATTCGCGGCAAAAGGCAAGAAACTCTAGAGAAAAAGAGGGAAGACTTGAACTTGCAATATTCTCTTTTAAAAGTCAAGAGATAACCTCAATTTGTGAAGCTGCATGGGTGAATGATGATGTTCCTTATACGACACTGATTAAATGAACGGCCTTCACACAGATTCTCAGATTGAAGAGCATTAATTACCCTGACAACCAACATTTTGTTGCGAGTTAGGCGAACGCCCTCGCCGGGAGCGGCCGCCCCGCTCGTGATTCCGTGTAAATAGACTCAGAAGCTGGCTTTCCCTTCAATACAACATCAACCAGCCCGGTTACTGTACGTTTTTGAATAATTGATTTCGATTTTTCATAAAATAACATGTGCGAACATCAGATAGATGATTTCAATCTAGTGAAAATAGGCAGTTATTCACAAGAAATCTTGTTATTTGGTGTGTTCAGAGGATCTGTTATGACCTCTGTCCAGGATTTCGAGTTATGCATAACTCAGGTTTTGAGACCTGCCGAGTGGACTACCCCTCACTCGACATTCCGAATGAAAGTGAATGCTGGAGTTAATTCTCTCGAGACCCTAGGATGCCTGCAGTTGAAGAAGACGATAAAGTCAGCCTGGTTTCGGATGAGGAGCCTACTCAATATGATATGGCAGAGGAAGGCCGTGCAATTGAGAGATCCAGCAACGGCCCCAGCAAGGTCCCCTAAACACGACAATTTCCCTGAGAATCCACCCTGTTCTACAATGTTTATTCCATCTTCCTACACCTAATGCAAACAGCGCAATTATGATGATCTGCTTGCATTCTGCCAATAGATGATGATGGCCACACACCAGGATTCTCCCAGCATCAACAGCGGTGCCCCTGTAGATGACGTGGGTAAGGCGTCATTAGATATGAAAACTGTGACTACATCCAATGGATTCAACTACCGGGTGTGGAAGGTTGGGATCTTGGCAGATGTGAAGGTTATTGATAGGACTGATATCTTGATGGAAACCCAGCACACAGCTCCCGAAGATAGGGTGGCTTTGGAAAAGGAGAAGTGGACAGTCCGTGTGAAAGCCTTATATCAAGGATGTTACAATCCTTCCTCGAACCTGTTCAGATGACAATTGAAACATTGGAACCTGACAACACTGCGGCTCTTAGGGAGGAAATAAGCACAGAATATCCCATTTCTCTTGCTGAGGAGTGTACCGATGTCATAAAGGAATTGATGACATTGCATGTTAATGATATTGACTGTCTCACATTTCAACGGAAGTTTCAAGGTGCTTTGATTTCATGACATCCAACCAAGCAGCCCTGCGTATCCCTAAGTTCAAATGAAGCTAAAAATAAATACGTGCCTCTTAGTGACGTTGCACATGAAGCAACTTGGTTGCATAATGGCATAATGTGAGAAGAGATTTTGGATAAATAAGAGTGTTAAAATAAATACTATACGCTCTAAATTATTAAGCTTTGCAGCTTGATTTATCAAATTATTTCTTTTATTTCTTTTTTTATCTTTTATTTAAAAAGTTTTTAATAAAGGTTTTATTATTATTATTATTATTATTATTTCAGAGATATGAGATGTTTTCTCTATACTTTAACTTTATTTAAATAATTTTTAATTTATTGATATAGAGAGTTAAATAAAAAAAATTATTTTATTTTTTTGAATTTATCAATTAGTTCTGTAACTAAAGTAAATCTTTTTTAAAAATTTAAACTAATAATAGTTTTCTAAAAAAAAATTTGATAAAATCTTTATAAATAAAATACTTTGTGATGACTATATAAAAAAGATAAAAATTTAACAATTTTTAACTCTAATTAAATCAGAAAAGATATACTAATTTTAAAAAGAAAAATAAATAAATAATAATACCTGCTGATATAGATATTTTAGAAAATAGAAAAGTAAACTTAGCAGTCAAAAATAATACTGAAATTTAAAAATTAACTTGTTACGGCTTCAATCTAGACGCAGGTAAACAGGTGTTGATTGTCAGCTAGGTAAGCTACTTCAACGAAATACCAAGATGCTCTACGAAACGGGCGCCCGGGGAAGCCTCTGTTTATATCCCCCTTTTCCACCACCCTTTCCACTGGCGGTTGCTCTGCCGTTGCTAGACAGTTTCTGTGGGGTATACGTTTACGGGGTAGTTGTTTGCGGGGTTGGTTGCTAGGCAGTGGCTATTGCCCTTTTCGGTCAATGCCAGTTTCCTTAGCTCAGTAGCCATGCGCTGTCATAGTAGCCCAGTAGCCGGCGCCGTAGCCAGCGCCATCACAGTATGAAATATGAAGAAGTCTCAGCAGATATATTTATATGACTTCAAGAACTTCTTTAACAGCAAGCTCTGTAAAATTAGTAACAGACTTCACAAGAAATATATTTCAAATCAAGCTTTAAGATATAAGAGCTCAGTCAACTACTGCTCTTAATATATTTATTATAAACATCACTCAGTCATTTAACAGTACTTGTTTTTACTCTGAGCAAAAATATCTAAAGAAAGAAGTTTATTCTATTTGAAATATTCAATCAGACTAATTTGATTCAATATTTTATCTGACAACTTAATTTTATGATCAAACTCTGTACAGATGACAGAGTTATTGATTTTTGAATGATTAAATATTATATATATTTGACTATTTCTATGAAGCTGTAGTAACAAAGTTTTTTTTTATTCATAAATACAAACAAAGTCTCTGCTTTTAATTCAGATATTATATTTATTCAGATATATAATTTTTCTCTAACTTTATTTTTATTAAAAAGACTTTTAATTGACTTTAAAGTACTTATTAATGCAGTTTTACTTTTGTAATTTTTCTTTCAACTATTGATCAAAAGATTTTAAAACTTAAAAAATAATATATTATGACTTAATCAGAGTCAAAATGATAACAAGACAATAGCTTCAATTTATCTAACTAAACAGCTGTGATGAGAATATTAAACTGAGAATTAAAATATGAAATAAATAAGTAGCTGAATATATAGAAATGATTAAGAATTAAAGTAAATCAATATAAGTAACTGAATAAAATTAAAATCAGAATAAATCAATTTTTAAAGTATATCAATTCTAATTCACATATCAGCAGCTATGCTATAATATTACTCTTCAGTTTAAAAGAGTACTTAATCTCAATCAGCTGTATTAAAAGTAAGAAAAAAGTAAAATAAAAATTTATCAAGCATATTAGTAGACTAACTATCTTAATTATTATTTATTAGATTTTTATAAATTTTCTTTCATATTTCATTAATATTAAATTTATTATTAAATTTTTATTAAAAACTGAGATTTATTTGACTATTTAACAGTAATAAAATTTAAAAAAATATAAATAAAAATAATAGTTTTCAACTTAATAATTATAATATTTATAATATACATAATAGCTTTTTTGATAAAATCTATTCTATTGAGAGAGTGAAGTTTACAGAATATATAATAAAGAATCATTTAAAAAATTAATAGTATTAAATTAAATTTAAATTAAATTTATAAAGTTATGATAATTAGAATAATCAAAATAATTAAAATAATTAGATTGAGAAGTATATAATATGAATAAATATAAAAAATTAAAAGCTAATTGCTGAATAATATACAGAAATTTTTTATAAATTTAATAGAGATTTAGCTACTGAGCTAGATAATTTTAAATTAATATATTAAAATCTTGATAGAATTGAAATATTTTTAAAAAATTTAATCAATTCTAAGTTCTGATTTTATACAAAATATATTTAAATTTAATAATATATATTAATAGAAATTTATTTAATCTTTACTTTAAATTATGAAATTTATCTTCTATCTTAATTATTTTATTTGAATTGTTATATACATCATAAAGTTAATTGAGAATTTAGTTATAATCTTAATTTTCTATTTCTTTAAATTGAGCCTATTAAGAAAGAATTATTACTTATATACTTAAATCTATATTCAAGTAAATATAGTAAAACTGAGTAATTAAATCTTTAATAGCAGTTTAATCAATATATAGTTTGATTTTAATTGAGAAAAATCAGATGTCAAATTTCAAAATTTGATTAGTAAATTTTTTGAGATCTAGCAGAGATAGTTTTAAATAAAATTATGATCAAAAGTTATTTAGAGTAGTCTATAAAAATTAGTATTTAACTCATAAGAATTAATATTAACAGTCTAAAACTACTGATTTTGATTATAAAGCTTCTGAATAGTATTCTCAAATTTCTGATTAAGAGCAGCAATAAAAGCTTCTATAATAAAGATTAAAAAAATAAAAAAATAAAAATTTAATAAAAATTTAAGCATTCAGTAATATCATAATTACTAAAAAATTTAATTAAATATAAATATAGATATAAATATAAATATAAATATAAATATTAATATAAAACTTATCTACTCAATTCTCAGAATTTATGAGAAAAATAAATTAAATATTATATTATAACTCAACTAGAGTTAAAATGATAATAAAACAATAGCTTCAATTTATTTATTTAACTAAATAATTATACTGAGAACATTAAACTGAGAATTAGAATATAGAATAAATAAGTAGTTAAATATATAGAAATAATAGTAAGATGTAAAAGAAAATCTATAAAAATCTAATAAGTAATAATTAAAACAGTTAATTTATTAATAAGCTTAATAAATTTTTATTTTACTTTTTTCTTACTTCTAATACAGTTGCTTGAGATCAACTTCTCTATTAAACTAAAGAGTAATGTTATAGTACAGCTGCTGATATATGAATTAAAATTGATTTATTTTACTATACTTTAAAAATTAATTTATTTGATCTTAATTATATTTAATTACTTATATTGATTTACTTTAATTCTTAATTATTTCTATATAATCAGCTATTTATTTATTTTATATTCTAATTCTCAGTTTAATATTCTTATTATAGTTATTAAGCTAGATATATAAATTAAAGTTATTATCTTATTATCATTCTAACTTTAATTAAGTTATAATATTAATATTTTAAAAAAATAATATTTAAAGTATATATATTAATTATATTTTAATTTAAAATATTTTTAAAAATTTTTTAAAAAAAAAATTAAAAATATTTATTTAAAATAAAAAAAAAATAATTATTAATATAATATATATATTAATAATTTTATATAATCTATATAATATAAAAATAATATTAGATAGTAAATTATATTAATATATAATTTTTTATTTTTAAAAAGTCTTTTAATTAAATTTATAATATATTTTTTAAAATTTTTATATAAAATTTAATTTTATTAATCTTAGTATCAAAAAATATATTTATATAGTAAGAA